CTGGCAGGGCTGCCCCAGCCCCTGGCCCGCGCTGGGAGCTCCCCGGCCGCCTGGTGCGCAGGGCCCGGCCGGGAGGGAGGTGTCGCTGCCGCTGCCGCTGTGGGGCCTGCTCGGCCTGCTGCCGTTTGACAGCTCTGCCTGACGCCGGCCGCGCTTGGGAGTCTGGCACTGCAAGGGAAGGCTTTGATGTTTGTCATCCTTGCTATCAGCGAGATAAGAGACCTGACAGGTAGCAGCACCCTCTTATCAGTCAGATGGCAGGACTCCTGCCGGCTGGGAAGTCAGTGCCCTAGCTAGTAAAACATTAACCTTTCTTTCCCTCTTGGCTTTACAGGTGCAGACTACCAAAAGAGCGGACCCAGCTGAGTTACGGAACATCTTCTTGCAGGTAAACTGTTATATCCGGGAACATCACTTGTGTGACCCACAATCTTTTTTTAACTCTTGTATGTTCTGCCTTTGGGCAGCATGTTAAAGCATAGGGCACATACACGATGCTAAGTTTTGGGGGGTTTTGAGGGTTTGTTTGTTTTTTAAGTTCAGAGTGTTTATACCCTATGTCTGAAGGCACTTTATGGAACTGTGTGGCATTAGGGCAGGGGTTCCCAATGTTTATGTGCCCAAGGGCACATTTGAATTTAAAACACAAAGCAGCGGGCACCAACATGACAGCATTTTTTGTTGGAATAATGATTTTTACTGATCGTCAAAATGCACACAGGCACCTGAATAAACCTTGGGGGGGGGGGGCACCGTGGCACCTGCAGGCACCACTTTGGGAACCGCTGCCTTAGGGTTCAACTGCTGCTGAAAAAAAGTAATGTTTAACATTAACATTAGCATTTTTCTGTAAGTTGCAGCATCTTTTTATAGCCAGCTATTATAAGTACACCTGACTGTTATTTTTAAAAGTGACACTGTTGAGGCTTATAAAAAGGGATGCCTTAAAAGTGATTTTATTTTGTATCTTGTCTTCAGGATTTTCCTATGATCCTCTAATAAAGATGGAGCTATGTTAAAGAGTTGTGAAAATACCTATACAAGCATGTAAAGAGCAGGAGAGGTAGTTAGTTGTGTTAGTTTGAAGTTAGGCAGAAGGCAAGGCAAGGCAATGTGAACCATTCTAGTGTCAGGTGCCACCCTGCACTGCCTTCTGCCTCTGCACATTCAAGTTGATGTGTGACAATGTAGATCAGCATACTCGCCCCTTGGAAAATGCCAGCTCTTAGTTTTCATGGTTATGTCTGTTTAAAACTTCCACTATCCTTCAATGTAAAGACTATTTTTTCTTATGTTAAATATATCTTTTTGGATAGATTATGGGAAATGAAAGTAAGTCACTTCTATATGACACCTGACATTTTACCTTGAATCCTAAATTATTATGTAACAACATATCTGTATGTATTAAGTAGAAAGGAATCCTCTTTTGTGGCTGAGAGAAAGAAGTTATTTCTAGAACACTACCTTATCTCCTACTTGGCTAATCTGTCTACACTACTAGATGCTAAAACTTTGAATACTATCCATCATATGATGATGATAGTCTAGCTTTTAGATCTCTGATGTACCATATAAAGGTTTTTCTCACCCTACTTTTAGGTAGTGGTGTAGGGTACTTAGTCTTTAGGAATAAAATGGTGTGTATTTATTTAATAAGTATTGATAATAGTTAAAAGATATATTACTGAAATGGTTCTGTAGACCTACTAGTTAAGCAGAACTTAAAACAAATGTTTTTACATTTCATACTCAAGATCTGAAACCTGGCTGAGCTCTTCCATGGTGGTTTGTGCTACATTTCACTCTTTGCATAATGTTCTATTCAACTTGATGGCGCATATGGATTATGTGCCATTAATAATGTCTATAATGTCTTAGAATATGCATGATTTTGGAGTGCAGTTGTGTTTTGTGGTAGAAGTTTTGCTGCTAGAGCCAAGTAAATTAAAATAAACATTATTTAAAATTATGTATATAGTGTTTTATTTCCCCTAAAAATACTGATAAATATTATGCTTTCTCTCTTTTTGGCTAAATCTGTACATTCTCCACATGAAGATTAATGTTTTATATATATTAAAAGCAAAAAGTTTAATAATTAAAATGTTTCAGATCAATTTGGTAGGATTAAAAATCACACTTTTCAGACTATTTGGGAATTGTATGGCTTGTACATTGAAGCAGCCCCTTTTGTGTACATGTGTGGGAGACCTTCATTAACAATTAGCAGGACCCCAAATATTTAAACCTTCTTAATTTTATGCCATGGCCTATTAATAAAGTTTATGGGCACAGAAAGAGACCCATTATGTGTCTTCATCATAATTTTACATACTACAAGAGCTCGAAGTCATTTTCATGCTGTGATGGGTAGCAGACTTTTATTTATTACTTTTTTTATTAAAATAGAATCCCAGGCAAACTTGCACAGAACATTGTACAGATATATTGTTAGTATTACAACATTTTGTGTTTTGCTCTTTGCTGAGAGTGCAAGTCCTGTTCCATGCTGTTCAGCTAAAGGGCATGCATTCCTTCCTAAATTTGGCTTCCGTTGGAAATAGACACAAGGAAAGATGTGAACTCTATTCCTTTCAGTGATCCACCTTGCACTATGGTACAGTGTGTCCTGAAGCTTTCTCCTGTTTGTGTATCCATCCAGTCTAGCTGTACTTAACTCAGATGTTTTTGTCAGAACTGTTGAAGCTTTTTGTAACTTTTCATCATTTAAATACGAATAATTTGAAAGTGTAAATGATAAGAATAGTAGAAAAAATGTGTAATCTTCAAAACCATATTATAGGCTAGTGATAGAAAAATAAAGGTGTTCAATTTCTCAGTATCAAATCATTCTTTTCATGTGTTGTAAGAATCTTCTTTTGATGTGTGCTCACACCTCCCCCCTCACCACCCCTTGTTGAGACTGGTGAATTTGTGTGTCATTTACATGTATAAATAACCATTTTTTCTGTTTCATGCTCAAAGGTGCCTCCCTTATATTGTATGATGAAAAGGTCACTTGAGGCCAGGTGCTATGAATTTGTAAATACATGCCAAAAGTAAATAGCTTAGCTACTTTGTCAGTCCTTAATACGTTGGGTTGTTGCCAAGACGCGTTTTAAATATCATGACCTTCTCATGGAACTAAGAGTATCTGTCAGTTAATAACTCAGTCACATATTTCCAAAGTATTCTAAAGCTACTGTGTCTTTGTTGTAATAAAAATACATTATTTTTTAAATTAAAAACACTTAGATTAGTTTGGACCTAAAAATAGAACAAAGATGTCTAGCTTGCTCAAATGTTTGTTTTCACGTGTCTTTGATTGCACACTTACAAATTAGTCCTGTTTCAGTTTTCTGTGCATTTTGTGATCTCTCATTTGCAAAATGTACTGTGGAATACATTCCTTGTAGCAGAACCATGCTACAAAATATATTTTTTATTTTTTTAAGTTTATTGCACTATATTTTTTCTAACAAAAGTGCTGCAGTGATGTTTTTAAGCATCAGACACTCTGAAACAGTAGTGAGAAATATTAACATAAACAGGGTAGTTTATGTATTTTAATTTTTATATCTAAACAGAAATTTTTGCTCATTTAATATATTAACCCCCAGTCAGTATATGAGTACATTGTGTTACCCTTTATACTAATACAGAAAGATGTGATCCTTGCCTCCAAAATACTGCTGTTTGATAAGACAACAACAGGTGGAATTCAGCAATCTAAGGATGAATGGAAAATGGGAAAATTAAGTTGCTTAATATTTTTTAATAAGATGTACAGTTAATGTTAGCCCTTTATAAAGCCACTGTTGATCATTTAAGTAGCAATGTTTAACTTTTTTTTTTATCTTACAGTCCCAAACTACTTCTCATACCTCTTCTAAAGCCAAAAGCTCTGATTTTTCCTCTTTACAGATGTGGAAACCTTCATTTTCTCTGATAACTTCTGTGATACAGTCATGGGTTAGTTAGTCAAATACGTTGTCAGCTCCAATGTTAGCTCATTAAAAAACAAACACATACCAACAGTAAAGGTGAAAGACATTCAGTTGTATTTAGCTGTAGTATAACTGGTTCACACCAGAGCTACTGTAGTTATTGCAGTACTCAGTCAGTCAGTTTTATACAGTAAGCCCTCAGGGTTTTTGTTGTTGTTTTTTTTAAATGAAGCTGCTTTAGTTACCAGTATGGCAGAGAACTGCAAAAATTAAATCCACTTTATAGATGAGGCCAATTATATCTTAAATGATAGTTGGCATGCTGAAAAGAATAACAGTACTGCACTGGCTTGAGAATCATTTTAAAATCAGATGGAGAGAGAGAGAGACTGCCTGCTGCTTTTACAGAGGGATTTGAATTAAACTTTCTAGAATGATCTGTTCTGTCTCTGACTAGTTTGTAGGGCTGTGCAAAATTTTGCCGGCGGTTTTGTTTCAACTCATTTCAAGCTCAAAACAGCGAAATCGAAACGAAACAGAGAGCTTCGAAACAGCCTCGAAACAAAACGAGGCAAGCTGAAATGTTTTGAAATTTTCAAAGTGTTTCGAGTCTGGAAGCTCAAGCTGGGCTTGCCTGCAGGGAAACAAACTAAAGTAAGGAGGGAGAGGGAAGGTGAGGGGAGAAGGAGTGCTCTCATTACTGACTGTGTAGCTGGCCAGTGACTGTCATCTTTCCCTGAGGTCTCTTCCAATCCCAGTGCTCTGGGGGCGGGATGGAAAAACTGCATAAAAGGCAGCATTGTTTGAACTGCCCTGTTTTCTGCCTTGGTGTCAGGTACTGAGCTGTGTGTTCCAGTTTTGCCTGTCAGCGTCTAGAGGTGCAGGGCCCCAGAACCCAGACTCCCCCTGCACCTATCTCCTTGACAGCTGGCAGGCTTTGTGGCTGCAGCAGGGCCTAGCAGGCCTGCAGTTTTTACCACCCTGTGCCCTAAGACAGACACAGTCAGTTGCATAAGCACCCATGTTTTGCCTGTCAGCAGCCAGAGCTGCAGGGCCCCAGAACCCAGAAGCCCTGCCCCTGTGCTGATATTCTTTGTGGCCTCACCAGCAGCTATCACTTTTGCAGTTTTCAGCCCCCTGTGGTGTAACACATAGATGTGACTTGAGTTTTCCTTTAAAAAAATTGGGGTGCAGTTTCCCCAAAACCCCTGCACCTATCTTCTTGAAACTTGGCAGGCTTTGTGGCCTCAGCAGGAGGCCTGGCATGACTGTAGTTTTGACCCTGCTGTGGCTTAACACATACATGTGACATGAGTTCTGCTTTCAAAACTTTGAGGTACAGTTTACCCAAAACTCCTCCATCTATCTCCTTGAAACATGGCAGGCTTCATGCCCTCAGAAGGGGCTACCATTCCTGCAAGTTTCATCCAAATCAGGCCAGAAATGACAAAGTTATAGGCTGTTTCGAGCTACCCCATTATAGCCTCTGGGCGAAAGAAATGGAACAGTGGTTTTTAAAAATCTAAACGAAATTTGAAGTGAAACACTGTTTCATCGAAACACAAGTTGAAACGGAATGGTGCCCTTTCACACAGCCCTGCTAGTTTGCTAAGGAAATACTTTTGCTTTAGGATGACTTATTTGTGCAAGCGCTTTTTAAAAATTCTAAATATTAAAGTGATACTGAAAAAGTGTATCTTGCTGGTGCACTTGGAATAGAGACTGGACAATAAGGGTAAGCTTGTCACTTTAAACTGTAGTGCAGTCTAGAGCAGGGGTGCTCAACTGGCTTGCAGGTCAAATGCCATTACATCTGGCCCATGGAGATCCCCACAGATTGGGAAATTTGGTGGTGGGAGAGCAGTGGCAGTTAATATAGGTGCCCTCCCCTGCTGCCACATTTCCAAACCCCAAGCCCTGTGCAGCAGATCACAGCCACCATGTCCCCTTCTTCCCTCCCCCTCCCCCTCAAGCCAAAGTCAAGCCCTCCTTTCCCAACAGGGCTGGGTTAAGGCCAAGCCTACCCTGCCCTACACCACGGAATGAGATGGGGGGCCTGCTGCACCTGCCCCAGATGCCCATTTGGGACCACTGGCCGGATCTGGTATGTGGATGGTCCAGGCACTGCTCATCTGGCCTGTCAGGGAAAAAGGTTGAGCACCAATGATCTAAAGAATCTGCTCCTGGACCCCTACATATTTGGCTACTAATTTAGTAAAGTTTGAACTCCCTGTTTATAGATCTTGCACTTTAGATTCTTACGCAATTTCTTCTTTCTTGAGAAAGGCCCTTACATTTCTCTATGTGCTTATGAATTAAGCTTTTACAAATCCAGTTATGCCAGCTTGGACTAATTCTTTCATAAAAATCAAAATAAAGATTTTTCAGAAAAAAGACAGATACCAAGTAGTGCCCTCGGATTTGTATCTTAGACAAGTGGTTCCTAAACTGATTCACGTGGTAAGTCATCTGTGGATGTCACAAGACTCCATTTCCCTGGTAACGGGATATGGTGGTCCACAAAAAAAATGTTGAGCTTTGACAGTGGTCCATGGGTATAAAAAGTCTGAGAACCATTACTTGAAAGAAACGCTCTTAAGTAGATTTCTGTGCTGGAATTTTCTGCACTTGGAGACATACATCCAGATGAATTAGTCTGCACTGGCAAACCTTTCGAGAAATACCTGTGAATTGTTTTTATTTATTTTTTTTAAAAAGCTTGTAGTCTTGGATCTTGTGAAATATGGTATTTGTTCTGCATGGAAATTAATTTGATTAAGAACTGTGGTGAAACAAAAGAACATCATAGGAATCCAAATCCTTTCGTCCAGTTGTCCTGACTTGGCAGTCTGGTGAGCTGGAACTCTCTTGTGAGCTGCCATCTTATGTTTCAGAATGTAAGCTAAGGATTTATTATTTCTAAATGAAAGTTCTTATGGTTGCAAAAGTAACCTTCAGATCCTCCAGAAGAATCGCAATAGAGTTTTTCCAGCTGATATTGGCTGATAGCTTCCGTGTATACAGAGCACATAAAGATGGATGATCATATTCAATATCTCTATTACCTGTTGTGAATGGCATCTCATTCTAGCATCTCACTGAGGGGCTCAGTTTCTGGATGGAGCTTTTGGCAATAACTTTTTTCCTTTGGCAAAAATAAACTGATGTTAATTTGATTTGATTTTTAAATTTAGATGGGGTTCTTAACAAAATGGCACAAATGGGTATTAAAAAGTAGAGACTGAAAATATGTAATTTAAGCATTACAGTGTCACAAGCTGAAATATTTACTGACAGAATAAACTTGGCTCAAAATTCAGGCTTTTCAAAACCAATACAAATATTTTCAATGATACCCCTGCAGTGATTTATAATCTAATTGTTGTGAAATTGGCTTGCAGGTCCCCACACTGTCCATTCACGTGCATGCAAGTACTATAAAGGCTAATATGAAAACAGTTACTATGGATCTTTCTTATTGGGATGAAAGTATAACACTGGCACATAGATTAAACAAAGTATTTGACTCTGTTAAATGTAACTGATCAGTTCTAAGATATGGAGCAGTTTTCCCGTGAGAGTTGTAAGAATAATGAATGAATAATTTCTGAAAAAAGACATTTATAGAATTATTAATCAAATAGATGATCTCTCAAATTTGGGAAATAACAGTATTTTCAATAGCATACTGTTTAAATAAACTTTTTTCAGGAATGTGTCAATTTTTTTTATTTCAAGAAGGTTGGGAGATGAAAACATTTTAATAATGCTGACAGAATAGAACATTTGATTTTTTTTTCTTCATTTAGAAATGTTATACTGCAGATTATAAAATGTAAGTAAAAATCAAAGCAGAATATTTTGTCCAGAATCAAATTTTAAAAAAATCGATTGAACAAGAAATGTCAAGATCTTTGTTTTCCAATCCATAACAAAAATGAATTTAGAAAACGTTGCATTTTCAATAAAATAAAGATTTTTCCCAAAACTCTAATATCTGCTATTTAAGAATGCATTTCTGATTGCTATTTTAGTAATACTGAAAATGTAGCATTGAAATTTTGTTGATTTACACCAAAACTTCAGATGGGAATTTACACAAATACTCAGCTGTTTCAGCAAATTTATAACCTACTTTTTGTTAGAGCATGTTGGCTTATATGTAAATCCATTATTTGTTGCATGCAGTCTGATTGACGTAAGATGTCTAGTTTATCAATATTGTTTATTTTAATAGAAGCCTTTAATCATAAAGCAATTTATTTTGAATGTTTTCTTAAAGCTGATAATTAACTATGAGTCCAATAATCATTAATACTTATCAGTATCTGAATGACTTTGTTTCATTTTGTTTCTTTATCTAGTATACCAGTGTTGAAAAGGATGGAGAGCGTTACATGACCCCAGGAGATTTTGTGCAAAGATACCTTGGACTGTATACAGAACCAAACTATAATCCTAAAACAATTCAATTATTGGCAGGAGTGGCAGATCAAACAAAGGATGGGTGAGAATTTTGCTTTCCATTAGAATCTTATGATTTGCTCATTAATGAGATAGTAGTCCAGATGAATTTATTGCTGTTTAAAAATAAAGTATTAGTCTTTTGGTTATGCTTTGAGGTTGCTTGTCCATCTTACACTTGAGATGTTTTCAAATACAATAGACCACAACATTTGTTTCACGGTGGGAAGAATATGAAGTTCAAGTCTAAAAGGTTTACGATGCTTTTCAAATGAGGATTTTTTTTGGAAGTTGACAGTAGCTACAAATAAGCACATCCATTTCTTCATGATTGCTTTGGAGGAGCTACTTCACACTACATTCCGGTCCATGGTTAAAGACTGTAAAGTTTTTATTGTTCGTAATTAAATACAGGAAAATGGAACAGATGTCATGTAATTTCTGTAGTGTGCACTCTTTAACACCCCACTAACACCACTATGTACAGATGAAACAACAGAGGACCTCTTAAAAATGCTATCTATTAGGCAAGGGAGACACTAATCACTGTATGTAGAGAGAAAAGTATTTGTCTAATCAAGATAAGGTCATATAGCACAAAGCTATTTAAGCATTGCTTATGGGTAATATTCTTTGTTTTTAACTAATTTACAAAATGTCCACTGTTTTAAGATGTTACCTTTTAACCCTCTTTGCTTCAAAGCAGTCTGGCCTACTTGCTCTTCTCTATTGCTATATACAACTTCCAACTTCAGCATTTCATTGTAGCAAGCAGCATAGATGTAGTCAGATGAAGTCAAGAGGTTAAGATGCATCAAAGCAGAGGTCAAAAATACCACCAGAGAGGAGTGGGTATTTTTTAGAGAAGAGATAGAAGGCTGCTATTAAAACAGAACACAATACATCTTTATAGATAAATCTTGTTTGTTTGAAATTGAAAGCTTCTTAACTTGGTTTTGAGAGTCTAAATCAGACCCTTGACACCACTTAAATGTTTTTGTTTTCCCTTATTGTAGTGTGTTAGAATTTTATTATATTGCACAGTGCCCTAAGCAACTGTGTCAACATCTATACTTTGCAAATAAAATTACAGTTATATAAAACGTGTGTAATTTGTACTGAATGGCAAAGTTAGGATTTCCTCTTCATTGCATTGCTACATGACTGTTTAAATAATATTGAAGGGTGTTGGTTGTAGCTGTGTTGGTCTAAGGACATAGGTAGACAAGGTTCTGTCTAAATAATATTGCAGCATTTCTCCTTGGAGTCTTAAGGCACATCTGATAACCCAGAGAAATGTAATTTACTTTCTGTGGCATATGGATATAATCTGTTGTTAGCAATATAACTGTAAATGACATTTGCTATTACATTTTAAAATAGTCTATTATAGACTACTTGATAAGTAAGCCAAACAAATGTTTGATATCTTGCTTTTTCCAGCAATTTTCATTGCCCTTTAAAAATATTAATTTCTTTAGAGAGTGTTTTTATAAAAAGGACCTTTTTGTACAGTTAAGAATCAAGAGTTTCTTTCATTTCTTATAGCTGACCCTTGGACTGAAAAATGCTTATCTTCTGCTTTCTGTTTTGCATATCTTTCTGTTTGGATAGTACCATTGGAAGCAAGATCAATGGGTAATTTACTATGCAGAGTTTGAGTTTTTGCAGGGACAGAAGAGAAGTGGCTGAGATTTGTTAACATGCTCAGATTCCAAATTTCAGTTACCTGCCGCTAGTTCTTATATGCCTACTGCAGAGAAGCAAGAACTCCATTACTTGATAGTGGATTAAGCTGTACTCTCACAATATCAATAAATACAATTTGCATTTATTGTTCATATGATTGATTGATTGTTGCAAATAAATCATCAAGCTGAATTTTAACAAAGCATACATTGAAACATGCCCAATGTCAGAAGGCAAAAATGGAGTTTAAAAATCTACTTTAAATTTGGTTATAGTATCCTTAAATACCTTTGATAATCTTTTGTGTTGGATTATTTAACATGAAAATTTGAATTTCAAAACAATCTTACCTAAACTTAATTTTTTCAGATTTACTTGTATTAGCCTTCTTTCAGTCCTTTCCTTATACCTCTTGACTTCCACTTGCTACTGAAGCAAGTAATGTTCGCTTGCTTGAAGTCCTGAGTTGAAAAGGTTTGGAAAAGAGCTTGTTTTTTTATTTTATCATAATCAAAAACCAATGGGAGAGAGGAACTAAGTTAAATTTGTTTCATTTCAGAAATAGTAGCATAAAATCTTAATAGGGCCACAAATGGAAATATATTCAATCTCTGTTCAGGCAAACTCTAAATTAAATCATCATTCCATTGATTTGTATTGGTAGAATTATGTGACTGTTTACACAGCTTCAGACTATTCTGTGCTTAGTTTCAAATTGTGTTTATAACAGCAAGGAATTAACAAAATGTAGCCAGGAATAAATATGATGAGGGAACAGAAAAATGGAGGATAAGAGTGATATATCTGTATTTGTACTGGGTATATGAAATTGTAACTTGATTTTTAGAAAATCAGTAAATTGTAATCATGTAAACTATCCTAAATGTGAAATTGGAGTTATAAAATTTCAAAATAATCAATTTAAGCATTGTAAGCTGGCACATGATGATGTTGAAGTGTTGTGTGATCTGGAAGACAGAATGTTTGGACAGTTATCTGGAGTGTACTTCTCTGAAGTTTCAGATCTTTATTTCACTTATTCTGTCCTCATATTAGAAACATCATTATTTTTTCTCCTGACTTTCTTTCTAGAAATTCTTTATAGCATACTTTACAAGCTTAAACATTTTAAACCAAGATGTAGTCTTTGATAACAATATTATTTCTACAGGTAGTTTCATCTCTAACATGATTAATTATGTAGTCTACAACCAAATTGTGATAATATATTGCACCTTTCTGCGGATCTAAAATTCCTTTACACAGTTTAGGTAAGTATGAATATCCCTATTGTATTCAGGTATTGAGAGACAAGTCATTTATTGAGAAGATCTGAGAATTTATCTCAGGTTTCCTCGCTAACCATTAGGCTAATCTGCTCTTAAATCTAGGCACTCAAGTTTTAAATAATTAAATAAGAATTAACAAGGGAAAATGGTCAAAAATAAGTTAACTTCATCACACTTGTGGAAGGAGAAATATTGCGGACCAACTTGCTTTTAGATATATTTTTGAAAGGTTTCTGTTTTGGGTTTTTATGATTTTTTTTTCTCTCTGTCCTTTTGCAATCCTGTCACTTTTTTGGAATTTATTCTGGAGCACCTGTGTCTGGCCATTATTGGCAAAGAGCTGGTTCTCTAGAAACTGCTTCCACAGTCCAGAAGTGATGGTCTTTAACTTAAGGCACAATGCAAATTTTACTTTTTGGTTTAGCTTTTTCATTATTGAATCCCACTGCTGTCATCCTGGTTCTGGTAGAAGCAGTAATTTGTTTAATGAAATCTGTTTGCAGATTGATTATATAATTTGTTGTATTAGCTGTCCTGTACTATAGTCACTATATCATGTGTGGTTAAGTTGAATAACCTTTCTGATTCAGTGGAACTCTTTCTGTTGTAACATACATACCAATCTGGTATTAGAATTTGGCCCAGATGATTGGATCCAATTCCTGTTGAATTGTACTGGGTTTTGGATGAGAAAATGAATGAGCATATCATCCTTTGTTAAAATGTCAGATTTTAGGTATCACTTGCAAAGTTATGGGTGAATATTCCCTCCTATGAAAGTACCTGATCTTTCTGCACATGCTGTAACCAACTAACCATTCATATCAAAATAATTTGGGATCACAGTGTAGTGTGACTTGAGAGATTTTTTTTTCCCTTCACTTCCATCTCATCCCCCTTTTTCACTCTTTCTGAATCTCAGTAAGTCATTCTAAAATCAGCAACATTAATCCAGAGGCAAAATCATGTTTGATATAACATAGAAGAGTCTCTCTTTTTAATCTAATCTTTATTTAAAATTTGTCTGTTTCTGGTTATTTTGTCCCTGAGTGGATAATTTATAAAGGTTGAGAGTATATTTTTTAACTGGGTATTAAAGTAGGCCTGATGCTTTACATAATAAATAAAGTATAGCTCTGTTGTGACACTCTAGCTTTAGATTTGACACAATGAAAGAGCTGCAAACAGCTGTGGAGGAAGATAAGAATTCTAAAAATATTGTTTACTTAAGTTTTTTTGGTGGTCTTTTAATAAGGTGGAGAGGGGATGAGAAAAGAGCAAAGAAACAATGGAAAAAATGAGAGTCACAGGGAAATGAAAGAGAAGTGGTATGTTGGTATTGTAGCTAAAGTTAAATGCTGCAAGCTCAAGGAATAAGGAAGATCAGGTAGGTGGAATCCCTGGTCACTGCTGAAATTCAGCTTCTGTTTCCTGCACTCTGAGCAAGGAGGACACCAGGAAATGTCCCTGCTAGGAAGCATCTATAGCAGGGGCAGGCAATTATTTTGGGTGGAGGGCCCCTTGCTGAGTTTTGGCAAGCTGTTGAGGGCTGGATTGGTAGCCCCGCCCCTTGACAAGTAAACCCCACCCCCTAGCACCATCTTGTGACCAGAAGTCCCACCCCCTAACCCCCAACCTTTGCCACCAGAATTCCCTCCCCTTGCCCCCAGGAGTATGCCTTTCAATAAGGGGTTTTGCCATCTCAGAACCAAAAAAACCCCAAATTATATACCAAAAATTGAACATCTACAACGTTCATTAAACATTTTTAATTTAAGAAAAAATATTTGTCCTGATTTACATGTGTTTGTGTAGTGTACATAAAGTTGATTGCACACCTTTAAGCAATAGCTTAAAATGAAGTCTTGCTCTTGTATATTGCGGGGTGCATGGGGTGGCACTACATTCCGGTCCATGGTTAAAGACTGTAAAGTTTTTATTGTTCGTAATTAAATACAGGAAAATGGAACAGATGTCATGTAATTTCTGTAGTGTGCACTCTTTAACACCCCACTAACACCACTATGTACAGATGAAACAACAGAGGACCTCTTAAAAATGCTAT